CACAGAGTATGCACAATGAATACTCATGGAGAGAGGTTGGAGGAGTCCTGGAATAGAGTCTAGGAAAACCTGATCTAAAGAGTTGAAAAATCATATCCTATGCAAGCAAAGAATGGACCAATTGTACAAACCTCAGGTTCAAGGAGAACACCCGGTAAAAGTGGATCTAGCATAGTAAGGCTGGCAAACCTTATCGATGAGTAAAATATCAATAAAACCTCCGTGAACCTTTTCAAAACCATTGACAGAGGTTTAGTCTGATTATCGAGCATTCCAATGTCGATGATATTTTCAATAATGAAAGTCAATAAACCATCTAAAACCTAATGAGTCAGTAGAGTTTTTAGGGTCGGTTCCGACAAGCACATAAAACATGAAACCTATAGTAGAACATAAAGATTTGGTTCATAGAAACTAATATTAAAATATTTTTGAACCAAAATTTTCAAGACATTTTTAGATCTATCGTATAGAATTCAAAAGATTCAGGATCTAAGCAACAATAACTACTAGATATGTAAAGAAGACTACACAGCACAAAAAATATTTAGAAGAAACCTCCATGGAAGAACTAAAACCCTTGATACCAAATATGATGAAACTAGTTTAGAGATGGTTGATGTTTCTCTTCAACTAGCCTTAATGTGTACCCAAATCTTCTTCCGTAGATCATAAAACTCAAGAAATATTCAAATGATGGAGGAAGAAGGAAGAGGTATGCACCACTTCAAGTGAAGATAAGCAAGAATGTGAAGAACTTTCCACAAAGAGGAATTCTTTGATAAAAGTTCATAATGAGATAATTTTTCCAAGGAAGAGAACTAAGCCTTCTAGAAGAGAAAAAAATCAAGTTTATTTCTTAATTTTCATCCAAAGTAATGTCCAAGTACAAGGGTAAACAAATATGTAGAGTTTAGTAGCTTGTGGTGCAAGTTATACTAACCTTGGTTAAATGTAACTGAGGTTAGTTATGTTGAGATTCATGGATGATGAATCAAGCTCAACTTTGAATTTTTGAGAAATTTTGATGATAACAAAGGATACAAGCCAATAACAAAGGGCAAGCTAGTCAAGAAGGGAAGACATGAAAGAGTACAATATGTAATAGGAATAACTTATATGTTCTTGTATGTTGTGTTGCCTTGTTGAGTTTATTCTGCATGTGTATACTTTGTGCATGAGTTAATCTTAATCTCAATTGACTAAGAGTGAGTATGATGATGATCTAAATGACTTGGAAAGTTTTCTAAAGTGTGAAATTGGGTTTTTGAAAACTAAATCAAAATAATCAATTATCATTAAAAAATAATCTATTATTTCAACAAGAGGTTCAGGGAACCCTGCTGTAATAATTGATTATTTGAGAAATAATCGATTATTCCAGGAAGTACTCTCTGAAATAATCGATTACCCTGCAAAATAATCAATTATCCTGTTCTTGAGTGATTTCCAGAAATCATGAAGAACAAAATAATCGATTTATCCTTAGAAATAATCGATTATCTGGGTCTGGAAAACTTTATAAATAGTTTTCACACTTTGAATCAAAGACAGAGAGATGAATAGAAAATAGAAGAGAGAAAAACTGATTTTGTGAAGTCTTTGTGACCTCCTTGGAGTGTTTTTCTTTGTGAAACCAAGAAGAGAATATTTTGTGAAATGATTTGAGAGAGATCATCATCATTACTACATTCTTGGAAGAGAAGGATTAAGATTTGTCAAGAATTCATAGTCTGATTTGTTCAGTTTCCAGGTGAATTCGTTCCTTTAATTCTTTGTGTAAAGTGTAAAGAAATCTTGAGTAGGTGTCTCAAGTGGTAAGGAATTATTGTAGTGGGGTTCAACAAGAAGTGTTTTCTTAGGTGCAAGAAAGTGTCTATCTTGGGTGTTCAAGTGTGTGCATGTGTGGTATGCTTGTAAATCCTCTTCATTGAGATGGTGAAACAAATCTTGATTAGGTTATGATTGAGGACTAGATGTAGGTCACATGTGGAGTGGCTGAACTAGGATAAAACACTTTGCACTATTCTCTCATCTCTATCTCTTACATTGAATCATCTTTAATTGAATGCTAAAATGGCTGGTCTTGATTAATATGCTTGTATGATTAAAATGGTGTAACCTGAAACATGAGCATTGTATATTAGTTGTTCTATAAGCTAATTCAATAAAGATTAAGCAAGAACTCATATAGGAGTCATTCCCATTTGTTAGCGGTTCAATTAACTTCATTGAGAATTCATATTAGAAAAGTTTTAATTGAAATAAAGATCCTTAAACTCTAAAAAAAATAATTTAAGTGTCACTGAATCCAACTCACCTCCTTCTTGAATTGAGCCATTCTTTTCTATCAAGTTAACTTGTACTCAAGACTAAAAGGACTAAAATTTAAGTTCCATGGTTGGAATATCACTATCCTAAGACTAAAAGGACCAATGTGAGTTTGTCACATGGCAAAATGTGTGATTAGACAGGACCATGTGGATTGTTAGAGTCTTAAAGGAACCATGAGACATCTTGTCCTCCCTCTTTGATGTTGACATCTAAGCACTTGGTCTCTCACAAGTTGGTCATCCACCATCTTGTCGAGATACAAGTGGATGTCAACTTCAAAGGCTATGCATCCAATAAATGCTCTCATATGTCATTCAAGCCTAATAAGCCCAAAACTCTGAAACAATATAGTTGTATATTCCGAAATAACAAAGCGAGGTAACAAGTTGAAAATAGCAATATCAGTGAATGAAATTCAAAGGAATTGATATTGTTAAAATGGAATAGCTATAGTGACTATAGAATCCATTATCAATACTCACGATCACATCAACAACCTGACAAGAAAGAATTAGAACAATTAGAGTAAAACACAGAAGGATGAGCTCAGGAAGGAGATAGAAGAATAAGAGGGAATTAGCCATACACACTCATAACATCTCATTCTCCAAAGCCTTCTAATAAAACATTCTTACTCCTCAGCTTAGTGCTTCTTCTCATGTGCCTTTCTCTTGGATCATTTGACACATGTTTCCTTGACATAACAAACTTTCCCATTTTCTTCCATGTCATTTGACTACTCAATTGCATTTTCTCTTATCATGTTATTTTGGCTCCATGTTACAATTCCTTCTCCATCAAGAGCAACCTTGTACTCAAGGTTGAAATGAGGATAAGATTCTTTAATAATATTAGAATTTTCCCAAACAACTTCTTATAGCTCTGAATGCTCCTATTGAAAGAGTACTTGAGCCACTTGTTTAGATATGACGCAAAATAGTACGATAAGCCAAAGCTTTCCAAGGCTAAACCATAGGACCCATCTTATTATTTGTAAGAAGTAAAGGGACATAAGGCTGAGAAGAATTCTTGAAAAATTTATTTTAAAAAAAAATGTGAAAAATTGGATGAATCTTAGTTGCATTTGGTAATTGGAGCTTATAAGCAACTAAACCTATATGTGAAATGACTTTAAAAGGTCCAAAATAAATGCAAAATTTCTTATTTTTACCATAGTTAACTAGTATCTTTAACTGTTGAGTTTGAGATATTTGTCTATGTCATATAACATTTTTTTAATTGAATAAATGGATGTTTAAATATTTAAAATATAGAAATAACAATAATGATATTTAGGAGGACATGATATTATGAAGAATTATTATTATTATTATTATTTATACAGGGATCGTTATTTTTTTTTATTATTTTTGCCTCTGCCTCTTTTTAAATTTGAATGTATGAAAAAAAATCTTGAACTTTTATCTTATGTCAAAAATCCACAAAATTTTGCAAAGTTCACAAAGTCTCGTAGAATCCATTAAAATCATGCCTTAAAAATCTTGCAAAATCCATCAAAATTATAATTTAAAATATTGCAAAATTCTACAAAGTCTTAAAAGTTATGAAAATGCTACAAAGTTTTTTAAAATCCACATAATTTTTTTCAACTAAAAAAGTCCTTTAGAATCCTAATCTAATAGAATCCCTTATGGTGTGTTTGAATGAAGAATTTTACACATTCAAGGAATTTTAAATTCTTGGTATTTGAATTACTTTGATATCAATTTCTATCATTCTTAAAATATTTTGTTTGGATAAATCAATTCAAATTTCTCAAATTTTAAATTGTTAGGTTGAATATAATAATTTAATTCCACCATGGTAAAATTCATTTTAAAAATATATTTATATGTTAAGATTTTTAAATTAAATTTTATAAAAATAAATATTAGCTAATTTTTAAATAATTAATAGTTTTAAAAATTAATATTATATAATATTTAAAAATTTTAAAAATTAATATTATATAATATTTAATAATTTTAAAAAGATTTTTAAATATTCAATAATTAAAAACATGAAGAGATAATAGATAAGATAAAATATATAAGTGAAATAAGAAGAAAAAAAAATATGAAGAATTTTAAATTCTTACTTTTTTTTTTTAGAATATGAAATTCTACTATTTCAAGGAATTTTACAAATGCTTGAATTTCAAATTCCTTATAAATTTTTCATCTAAACAACGTATTTCACCTCAAAAAATTTAAAATTCTTTAAATAAATAAATTATTTTATTTAAATTTTTCATCCAAACAAACTATTAAATAATTTATTTTGAGATTTATTTCATTATCATTTTGATTCTTCATGGCATGTCATCATTGTTCATCCATGTAGGTTAACATGCAACGCCACATAACTGTCAATGATACATAACATTCAATTCACAAGTTGATTTACGGTATCAAACACTTAATGACATCAAAAATCAAAACGAGTGAGAAAAAGCAAAGTTGAAATCTAACACGTCAACCAAATAAATCACACTTACAAGACCAATTCGGCGAGCAGCTAATGTAGTAACCGAGTAAGCATGGTTGTCCTAAAACAGTCCAAAAAAAAAAACAAAAAAAAAAAAAAAAAAAAAAAAAAAACGCACCCGCTTATTACCCCTCACATAAGCCACGTCACGTTGTACACTCTGTAAAGCTCAGACATATATACTGTGACAGCACTAGTCAAATGTAAAGCGAATCCCCTTGTTGCTTCCCAAAACCAACTGAAGAAAAAAAAAGAAAAGAAACCCTCGCTTTACTTTACTTCCATTGCATTGCATTCGGTGTGAGACCTCATTTTCGCTATGTCTTCCATTTCCCAACCTTAGATTTTCTTCAGGGGGAGAGAGAGAGTGGGTGAAGTTTTCTTTCGTTTTTTTTTTTTTTTTTATTTATAGAAATTTTCTTTCTTTTTTCGACTATACGATATGTACGTGGAGCCTCCGCCCCAGCGTTCGGATCCGGGTTCTGGATCCGGTGATTTGCGGGTTTACCAAGCGTGGAAGGGGAGCAATGTGAGTTCTTCTTCTGGAACTTTATTTTTTTTATTTTAAATTTATAATTAAGCGTGTCGTCATTCTGTTCTGGCTTGTTTTCTATCTATCAGTCACTGTTTGTTCTAAAAATAGGTTTTTATTTTATTTTTGTACTGTGATCGTTTATTGTTTTTCTTTCTAGCTTGTGGTGAAAATCGGTTTTGTTTTGAGGGAAAAAAATTACTAACGTGGAAAATGAATTTGAACCAAGGAGGGTGCTAGAGCAGCATTTGTAAATTATGGTTGCCTTTTGTTGGTTTTGTTTGTTTAGCTGGTGTGTGAGATTTAGGTTCGGGTTGGATTAACTTCTCAATAAGCATGAATAAGAATAGAAAATAGGAAGGTAAAATGAATTGGGCTTCTCTAATGTATGTTTGGATTAACTTCTATAGAGCTATTTTTAGGAAAAAATAAAATAAGTTTCTCTTAGGGTTAAAATTAGCTTATGCATAAACTAATTTATAGAAGCTTTCCTGTATTAGTTTCTTCAAAATATATTTTTTAATTTATGTAAAAGCTAAGCTTATAAAGAAATTTATTTCATTTTTTCTTTTCCTAAAAGTGTTTCTAGATAAGTTTATACAAACAAGTCCAAAGTTTAAATCAACTTATGGGAGAAAATTAACTAAATTTACCTTCTTATTTTCTTTTCTATTAGTATATCTATGGAGAAGTTTATCTATACATGATCTTGAGCTGTTTTGTCTCGAGTATGAATTTATGGCTTGTTCGTTAAAGCTTTCTGTTGCTTTTTGTTACTGAAAAAGCTTTGTAGGCTCTAATTTCCATGGACCAAGTGCTGAGTTAATAAAACTACCAATGTGTGTGGAAAGGGGCGCGAATCTCTTAAGCATTTGATCTTGGTTCAATTTTGAGATTTATGTGTCTGGAAACCAAAAATGGAATTAATGAACTCGAGAAGTTACACTTTTCCCCCTGGAGCTGGCATCATAAAATCGGGCCCTCGCCCTTGTATTAAATGCATAAATTTACCTCAGCAGTAATGTAGTGGCAAGGAGCCGCTCCGCTACGGGGATACTGTAGTAGCAAGGAGGTGCAATAGTGGCCGCTATGGCTGCTATTGACAACAATATAACATAGCTCAGCACCATTGTGACTGGTGCTGGATTCCGCAGAGTCACTCATTAAATCCTAAATATTTTGGTGTTTGAACCTATAATGTCTTGGAAAAGCTGAATCAATAGTATAGTGGGTCGATTGGCCATATGATTTAGTTGTGAGTAGAAAGTAGTTGTTGGTTATTTTCTAAGCACATTGAATTTAGATTGAACCCTTATCACTGAATTTGGACAGTACTGACTGACTTGTAAATTATTATTTGTGACTAATTCTTTACATTGTGATGTAGAAGTATTATTTGTTTATATCTTGTATTTGTTTTTCACAAATTGTCTTTTCCACATAACCTATGAATAATAGTTTTATGATGTTAGTGGCTGGTGCTGCAAATTTATTTGAAATATATTGCTGTTTTTTGTGGTTTTGTTACTGTGAATATGCATATTAATTGTTTTTCATCCATTTCCTGCAGAAGTTTTTTCTTCAGGGAAGGTTCATATTTGGACCAGATGCAAGATCATTGGCCCTGACGATTTTTCTTATTGCTGCTCCTGTTGCAGTTTTCTGTGTCTATGTTGCCAAAAAACTAATAGATGATTTTTCTGATCACTTGGGGATAACTGTAATGGCCATTGCTGTTATATTCACAATTTATGTGAGACTCTCTTTCTCTCTCTTTCTCATATGCATTCAAACACACCATGTCTACAACTTTGTTCTTTGACCCTACATTGTTCAACTCTATTCATAAGGCACTTTGTTTATAATCATGAGAAACATTTATCTATGTTTCAACACTGACACTAGTTTGAAGTAAGCTAGAAGCTGGATTTGGTTATCTTCTGAATAAATACAACTTGGCTGATTCCCCTATTTTCAGCTGCTTATTGAATGATAACTAAAACAAAACTAGCCTTAACCATAATGGAACTAATATGTTAAAACTAGTGTTACTTACATAATTTTGCTCCTAACCATGGTTCTAAATTGCGGTTGCAGCCATTGTAGTTATTGTTGATTATAGCGGTTACAACTTGAAATTATTATATATTTGCACCAAACATAAAGTCATAAACAAATAATTTCACAATAATAAAAATAAATCAAACATCTTTTTCACAATTTTTAACTCCACACCGCTTTCTCCCTTTCTTAAAATGCATCATCCACCCTCCCAACACTCCAATCAACCATCATTAGTTGTCTCCTTCTCTCTCTTAACATCTCATGTGACTACACTTATTAGATTAGAAGATTAAAACTTGAATCTATGTTTGTTTGTTAGACAAAAAAGTGGAAATAAAGTGGCGTTGCTGATTTGTTGCAGTTGCGTTGCGGAATTTTGTGATTTAAAGCCACACTGTAATTGTAGGTTGTTGCAGTTGTGGGAAGTACCGAATAGCAATATTGCAGCCACAACATGTGTTGCGGACCGCAATTTAGAACCTTGACAAAGAAATGGAATCCAGGGCCAAGCCATATTTTTTTGGTGCCATTTTGTCTAGATTAATAATAATATTTTATTAAAAGGGAAATAAATATTGGGAAGAGAAGTTTGAGTTGACATCCTTCTCCTTAAACCAATAAGCCAAATAAAAGTGCAAACCTACTGCGAGCTCTGTACTGCTTTGCTCATTGGCTGACAGTGTCTTTCTGGAAAGTCTGCCATGGTGAGTACAATTTACTCCATATATAAGGCTGGCGATTTCCCCTTAGTATTCAAGTGTTTGAAAAGGACTGATAAAATCCAACATCAATTCCAGAAGAAAATTCTGACTTGAAAATTCAGTATGGCAGTAGTTATTTTCAGTTATCCATGAGGTTCCAAGATTCACCAAACACAAAATCCTTCTCCTTGTAATCTGTTGTGCATTGTGAATGTGCAGTTGTTTTTGAATTAAAACAGTGCGTCACACATTGATCAGAATTTAGGAGACAAAACTTTCTTGCCTCTACAATGTCCAATTCTGCAATAAGCAACCAGCAGTAATCCTATTGTGGGTTCTCTAAATGAAGTGCTCAACTTCAGTGGTAGTTATGGGTTTCCAAAGGGACTTCTCTAGAAAGTTGTCTCTATTCGCAGAATATGTAAAAACATGGAAGCCCTAATGTTAATTATCTGAAGCTGAATCCATATTACTAATGCATAAGCTGTCTGCATATGAGTTCTGAAACTGATACTGGTTCAGAGACTGTAAGAAATAGGAAGGAACTGCAGTAAAAAAGTATACACACTGCATAAACCTCTAGGGTCCAGCTTCCTCATATAGTCCTATTCCAAAAGTCCAAAACCGTATGCATTTCTTTCCTACCACTCTCCCTCACACTACTTTTATAGTCCCCTTCCGATTAAGTGCTCCTCTCATGTTATAAATATCAAAGATATTTTTAGGAGGTTAAAATATGAGAGTATAATGTGATATTTGTTTCCCTATTACTAATATTTCCTTATTTTCTTTCTTGGCATAATCTCTACCCTATAGAAAGGAATGTTTTTGAATGTACAAAACACAATTAATATGCCAGTTTCCCTCTCCCAACTTTCTCTTTCAAGATGGTACAAAAGCTTAGTGATTGTTATTGGGTCTATCCTACCCATTATCGAACAGTTATCAGACCATCTGTAGATGTCTTTGACATGAGAGGTGTGTCAGAGATCTCATATCAACTAGTAAATATGATTAGTGTATATTAAGTGGGAGCAACCCTTATTATACAAGTAGGTTTTGTAGGGTTAAGTTAGGCCCTAAGCCTACATTATGAGATCTATTTTCTTTCCTCGAGTTAATTTTGTTATGCAGAAGGTCCCCAACATAAATGGTCTTCATGATTTTCCTCATAGCTTCCCTTGTGATCCTGGAGCTTTCTTCCCCTGCATTTCACCTAATTGTTCCAAGAATATACCTTAGTTTTTTGGGGTGGAGGGGGGTTATTAACTTGTTAGAAATCAAACCAAGTTAGTCAATGGTGACATCTCATTTAAGATATAAACCAGATGACTAAAATCAAGAGGGGTTCTAGCTTTAGAAGTTTCTGTCCCTTAGTGTTTCTGATTTTCTGATCATACAAAGATTCCTATTGGTATAAAATTGTAAATGGGAGAATTTTGTGAAAGAAAGGTGACTCACAAAGACGAAGGCCTATTTGTAAGGCATTGCTTTGGTGGATTGTCTCCAATATCCACTGAGCGTTTGGTGAATTACTAAAAATGTGAGTTTATGGTTGTAGATATCCTGGGACACATGTATCTCCATTATCATGGACGTCACTTGGATCATGTCACTCTTTAGACACTAGGATGCTAGGACAACTTCTATCTAACTTGTTTAAAGTATTGAACTCAGTGTCGTTGTATGAATACAAATTGATCAACTACTTGTGAGTGTCCTGTAATTCACAAAATCAATATGTGCTCAACTGGACAAGGCCTTGGTGCTAAACTAATATATTTACAAATTAGTTTGAAAGCATAATTTATTTTTGTTGCGTGTAAACTCTTTCTTATGATGTATGTATTACTAGCTGGCTGCCAACATGGAAACTTTTTCTTCCTAACATTGACTTTGATGTGCTGGTTAGCTATCATTTGGGCTATTTTGTAATAAGGTGGAGCCACTGATGCTCCATTTTTTTAATGACATTGGGCATTTGCTGTGCTATGAGCACTAAAGTATATTCTTTCCTACTTTATGCTGATGCTATAATATTTTTTTAGGTGTTAGTTCTTCTCTTGTTAACATCTGGCCGAGATCCTGGCATAATTCCTCGCAATGCGCATCCTCCAGAACCAGAAGGCTTTGAAGGTAGTCTAGATGTTGGGGCTGGTCAAACTCCTCAATTGCGGTTGCCTCGCATTAAGGAGGTTGAGGTCAACGGAATTACTGTTAAGGTCAAGTATTGTGATACATGCATGCTCTACAGGCCTCCTCGATGCTCTCACTGCTCAATTTGTAATAACTGTGTGGAACGGTTTGATCACCATTGCCCCTGGGTTGGGCAGTGCATTGGGCTGGTAAGTTTTACAAAATTGACTTTTAATTGTGAATCTAGTCTGCCGAACGTTTTAAGCTAGGCAGAAAGATTAGCATGGCATCTGGGGTGTGTAGAGTCTATTATATACGAAAGTGAAAGAGATGGGTGATCTTTTGTCAGCTTGGAACTTGTTGAGATAATTCATATTTTGTACATGGGGTCTGCTGGAAAATCTAGTACGTTCTAGAAATTTGTTAATTATCCAACACTCATTTCTGAAATTTATTTTAGGCTCGTTGAGTCAAAATTTGAACATAGAATTCATCATCAGTAGTTTATATGTTTATTATATTTATTGGAAAAAACCCGAGTCTCACATCGACTAGAGATTAGGCAATTGAATAGTATATAAGTGGAAAGCAACCCTCACCTTACAAGCCGGTTTTGTAGGGTTGAGTTAGGCTTAATCCACTATTCTAACATGGTATCAGAGCCATTTAGATCCACTTTAAAAATGGGCCACCCACCATTGATGCATGCCCCTCATAGGTATGAGGGGGTGTATTGGGAAAAACCCAAGTCCCGCCTATCCTAGATCATTAAAAAAGGGCCACCTACCATTTATCCACGTACCAAGCCCAATAGTGCTGGACGTGAGGCGGTGTATTGGAAAAAACCCGAGTCCCACATCGACTAGAAATTAAGCAATTGAATAGTATATAAGTGGAAAGCAACCCTCACCTTACAAGCCGGTTTTGTAGGGTTGAGTTAGGCTTAATCCACTATTCTAACAATATTAATATAATATTATTTTCATGTTTAGTATATTGACCTTTCAGTTTCTGTCTTTCATAATATGATTATGCTTTATATTGAGTGTACGAGAATTTTTTTAGATTCATATTGGAAATCTTAGGTTCAATTCTTGTTGGGTGAGTGGGTGTTGTTTATAAATTATGGTGTCTAGAGATCTACCCAATTATATGTAGCTTCCTGTGACTGCCCCCACTCTGCTCTCCAAATGCTTTTTTTCGGGACTTATTTTACTTTCATGGAAAAATTTCAGGTTTTAGGTTGTGTTGAATTTAGGATTAATATAAAATGTGTCTTAATATACAGTTGAAGTTTACTTTGGTGTTTTTTCCTCATTTGTGGATTGTTTATGAGCTTTCTATCCTCCTTTTTATTGTTTGTATATTTATTTATTTATTTCTGATTTGGTGACTTTTCAGTTGTCATTTTCTGTCGATCTTGAATATGTCATGTATCTGAATGTGTGCACAATTGTTATGCAGCGTAATTATCGCTTCTTCTTCATGTTTGTCTTCTCAACTACACTGCTTTGTATATATGTTTTCGCATTTTGTTGGGTCTATATCAGAAGAATCATGGAGTCAGAGGAGACAACAATTTGGAAGGCTATGATCAAAACCCCAGCTTCCATAGTGTTAATTATTTACACCTTCATATCAATGTGGTTTGTTGGTGGCCTTACTGCCTTTCATTTATATCTAATTAGTACAAATCAGGTAATTACACCTTTTTAAAATCTTTATATGCTTTAAATTTAAGCTATCTATCCTAATGAACTTACAACATTATATTTGTGTCCATTGTTGTTGCAGACTACATATGAGAACTTTAGATACCGATATGATCGACGGGCCAACCCATATAACAAGGGAGTGTTCAATAATTTCATAGAGATATTCTGCACCAGCATTCCCCAATCAAAGAACAATTTCAGGGCAAAGGTGCTGTTAGAATATATGAAAATATCTTGTCATAAAATATCTTAGATTATCCTCTAAAGTTAGTTTCCTTATTTCCTTGTCATGATCTGTTTCCCCAATTAGTTAGGATTATGATTTTTCTTTAATGAAAATGTCATTATATTGTAATATATTTTAGTTAATACCCATTTAGTGTGCTGTTTTACATCATCCTCTGTGACCAGTCACTATTCCAATGCCAAGCTCCCACCCAATAAAAAAGAGTTATAAGCATGTCCTTTTGTTTTCCTTCTAAGTAGTTGCCTATAATGTGTCGTGTGCTGTTCTTGGCATTCTTCTGGGTTTTCCAATAAGTAGTGGTGCTGGTCTAGTTTTGTTTCCCGGAGGTTTATGCTCAATAACCTCTTTTGGTTGTTTGCTCAAATTTGTTGGTGCTAATGTTACCCATTCAGTGATTAAAATTGTGTATTGTGATATTAGAAACGTCATTTTGGTGCCATGGCTTTCCCAGAGAACTCAACCTAGCCTTTTAACTTTTCAAGAAGTATTAGTTGGCCAGACCCTGTGAATTTCTTAGAGAAATCAGCTTGGTCCTGCGATAGTCCCTGAAAATCTGCCTGGTCCCTCTATTCCAGTCTCAAATTATACTACTTGATTTTATTTTTTCCCCTTAAAGGTATATTTATTACAAGTTTAAAGCTAAAGAAGAGTGTTAGAATATATGAAGATATCTTGTCATAGAATATCTTACCTTCTGGTTTTAGTGCCCTTATTTCCTCATTATATCTTAGGATTGGTTACCTAATTAATCTTATCGTGATTTGTTTCCCTAATTAGTTCGAGTAATGATTAGTATAAGATTAGCATGCTAAGTTTTCTAGTAACATTAGTACATTATAAAACATTTCAGTTAATGTCAATTCAACATTTCATTCTCTTCTTACCTATATACACCTAAAACTCCACGATTTCAACAGGTGCCAATGGAACCAGCATTACCTGCTCGGTCAGTGGGTGGAGGCTTTATGAGTCCAAGTATGGGAAAAGCTGTCGATGACATAGAGATGGGCAGGAAAACAGTCTGGGCCGACATGGGTACCGCTCTCGATCATTCTGAAGGTCAACTGAACGATCGCATGGCTGTAAAGGATGGGGAATTTGGTGAGTTGTCTCCAGAAATTAGGACAACAGTAGACGAAACAAGTGATCGTGTTGGAATACATCCCAGGAGATCCAGCTGGGGAAGAAAAAGTGGAAGCTGGGAAATGTCCCCTGAAGTTCTTGCTTTGGCAGCCAGGGTTGGGGAATCAAATCGTATGGGTGGAGGTAGCAGCAGTTTGACCACTGAAAACAGGCATACATAGCCACTGAAATTAATAGTCTGGCTAAGGATTTTATTTGTTGTAATTAAAAGATTACATTTCTGAAAGAGGTAAATCAACCGCAAAATTAATTGTATTTGCAATGTGGGGGGTGAAGGCTTTGCGGGGTGCTTGTTAGTGTTGCTTTAGCCATTGTCCTTCTAGGAAGGAATTGTGTTGTTCTGAGTGAGCTTTTCTTTGCCTTGTGTTGTATCAAGCTTACTAATTAACTACTAGCCTTTGTCTTACCAATTACCAATTAACTGTGTCTTTGCTACAGTTTGTCTATCCTGGAGGACAAAATTCATGGGAATTATTATTGACATTCACTTCTGAAGCTTGAATTTAAAGCTAGTATGGATTGTAAACTCAACTCATGGAAAGAGTTCTCAATCAATCTCATTTCATAGCCCTATTTATGAAGGTAGAATAACTAATTCTCAAAATACGTTATGGACTTATGGTTAAATTTTTTAATTGATTCACTAATGTCTTCCCGGGCATCCAAAAATGCAAACCACTCGAAGTGACAAATATATGTCTTACATATAGTAATTATTATTATTTATTTTCCTTTCAATATTTTTCACCTTTAATAAATATAATAGTTTAACATAATTCTATTTTTTTTACAGCAATTAAAATCTCCTTAAATTACAATACATTATATACATTTTGTTACTTGTGCAACACGTGGGTTAATATCTGGTTCTATCTAGTTCTGATTTATAAATAGAGATGGATATGTAGTACATGAGTTTAGTTGAATATTTAGTTTTAAATTATTACAATTTTTTTTTTAATTTTATACTAGAAGGGAAATTGCATAATTTTTAAATTTTATAGTAGAAGGAAAATGATAGTACTAATTTTTTTATTAGCATTTGCAGAACCCTTCATATAGTTGATTAAACTGATCTTTAGACTAAATAGAAATATACAGACGAGCTTCCTCTGAAATTTCCGAGCTTTTTGTTCTGCCTTTACCAAATATATAGCATATGTTGCACCCTGCCATTTAAAGTTCCCTGTTTGACTTGTTTCTTTATTTGAATTGTTTTAAACTCTGTCGATTCTTGTGAGCAGATTTGTGATGTTTTGATTTTTTTTCTTAAATAATATTTTTATATAAAAAAAACCCAAATGGACCCCCAAGGTTTATTTATCCAAATAACCTATTTACTGAATAGGTTCAGGGAGTCGAATTCTGTCTTGCTACAGTGTTTCTCCGGCGGCTGTCGGAATTTGGTTCTCAAGAAACCGAATTCCGAGCAGCCCTATTTTTTTTTCTTTCAAAAAATGTGATATTATATTTTATTTATTAAATAATTTAAAAATAACATATTATTATTATAATTAAAATGAATTTATATATAAAATAAAGTATTATGTGTATTTATTATTATAATTAAAATAAATTTGTATATAATATTAATGGTTATTAAATTTTGTCATAAAGTTCCATATATAATAATAATAGTAATTAATTTATAATTTTAATAAGTTATAATTTTAATAATGTATAATTCTAATAATGTATAATGTTAATAGTTTATAATAAATAATTAATAATTTTAATAATTTATAATAATAATTATTTTATAATTTTAATAAGTTATAATTTTAATAATATATAATTTTAATAATGTATAAATTTAATAATGTATAAGAGCAAGATCACGACGAAGACATCGAGCCACTTGCAAAAATTCCACCATCCGCACCATACTTACCATATACCCCACCTCAACATTTTCTAAACTTTTTGACTCACATACATGAACATGATTTGGAGTTTAGTCATGTTCTAGATCGAGAAACGCTAATCTATCCGCCTGGAATACTATTTGTTGGCTAGCGCTTCATGACAAAAGAACAAGTGCAGGATGCCATTAATAGATATCATATTATCGATCACTGCACGTACAAGGTCTAGTTGTCAAGCCAAGCTAGGCTTGTAATGGAATGTGTTGATGCCCAGTGTGATTGGTGATGTCGAGCAATATTGCTCACCAAAGAGCAATATTAGGAAATAATGAAGCTGGAAGGGTCGCACACGTATTTCGCCACTCATTTCACAGGATCATAATAAGTTGGGATCACGAATGATTTCTCAAACCATTTGTGAAATTATCAGTTTGATCCTTCCACACCCATCTCAATCATCATAGCCAACATAAAGTCTATAATGGGCTATACTATCACCTACAAAAAGGGATGACTGACAAAACAACTGGTGATTGAAAACATTTTTGGCAATTAGGAGGAGTCATAACCTAGTCTGTTGCAAGCAATGTAACTCTATGTACGCGGCTTCATTTGGAAGTTGAATACACAACCAGCGTACCAAGGTGACGTGTTGGAAGAAGGAAATGTAATCTTCAAGAGGCTTTTTGGACGTTCAAGCCATGTATTGATGGTTTTTCTCACTACAAACCAATTGTTCAAGTGGACAGAACATTTTTGTATGGCAAGTACAAAGGGACATTATTGGTGCAGTTGCACAAGACGAGCGCAACAACATAATTCCTATTGTCTTTGCTATGGTTGAAGGAGAAACTAGTGATGCATGGTTCTGTTTTTTTTTTAAGAAACTTGCGGAGGTATGTAACACCACAAGGGTTGTGCCTCATTTCGGATCGTCACAAGGCTATAAGAAGTGCATACTCTAGAAATGGAAGTGGTTGGACTGAAAACAATTATGTCCATATTTATTGCATTAGACATATTGCACAAAACTTTATGCGACAATTCAAAAATGCTGCACTGAAGAAAGATGTCGTCAATATGAGTAATTTTAAAAGTTTCTTCAATGATTATTATTTTTTACACTTGGTTAGCTACTTATACTAATTTAAATTGTAAACTTTTGTTTCAACATATGGCATGACCGAGTCCAGATTCTTTTACTATTACAACATAGTAAGAGATAATAATCCTTAAGCAACACAATTGTTGAACAACATCCCAAGAGAAAAATGGACGCTTGCATGGGACAACGGATGACACTAGAGACACATGACAACAAAACTAGCCGAGTCCATTAATTCGATCCTCAAGAAAACAAGGAACCTCCCCATTTGCTTCATGGTCATGGCGACATACACCCGCTGCAACAAATTTTTCTTCGAGAGAGGAATGTAGGTACATGCCATGATTAATGCTAGACATGTCTACTCGAAAGTTGTGTCAAAAATAATTCAATCACAATCAAAGGCAGACACTTATAGAGTAAGCACAAGATTTTTAGTAGAAGAGACACAACATCCAAGGGAAGTTCGACCAGTAGGAAGATTTACAGTAAGGTTAGATGAGATGTGGTGTGACTGTGGCAAATTCCAAAAAGTTCATATCCCATGCTCGCATGTTATTGTTGCATGCTTACACGCACACCACGATTTTAACATCTACGTATCTCCCGTCTATACCTTACAACAAGTCTCCAAGATATATGAAGGACAATTTGGGGAACTACGACACGAAGACTATTGGCCAACTTACAATGGCTAAACTTTATGTCCAAATCCAAAATTTAAAAGAACTTCGAAGGGTCAACTCAAGTCAAGCAGAATAAGAATAAAGATGTTCATTAGAGAACAATAAAGTCATGTAAAATATTGTTCTTATTATCACATTACTAATTACATAAGGAAGAAATGTCCAAACATTGTTCAAGGCCGCCAATGATTTATGTAGCCTACAACTTATTTTTTTCAATGTATCATTTCCAAATTAATGTTAGTAATTACCTTATTTTTTTAATTATTAATTTATCGTATTATTTTTTTACATATTTAATTAAATATTATAAATTATTAGAATTAAAAATTATTCAAATTATAATTTATTAAAAGAATACATATTAAAATAAATATTATAAATTATTGATATTATAAATTATTAAAATTAAAAATTATTCAAATTATAATTTATTAAAAAAATACATATCAAAATAAATATTATAAACTATTATTATAAATTATTAAAATTAATTTTTTTTCAAATTATAAATTAT